AATGACTTCTATACACCGCAAAGATATTAAATGCTTTTAAGCCAAAATCCACCATTATCCGAGGATACTTGTTATGCTCCCTAACAGCCATCTACTTACACAATTAAAAAACAATAAACTAAATACATGAAAAAAAAATTTATTTTATAAAATATATTAGATAAATGGTTAATACCTAATGATTTGAGAAATTCGTTGAAATTCAATATGTTATCGCCAGGGGACTATGATTCCTCATCCAGACATCTAGTGTGCTAATGAACTTCTCAATCACGACATATATACAAGTATATTGCTCATGCTATATATACTTTTATTAATAATGAATAATGAATTATCAATCATTTTATAATAATAATATAATAATAATAATAATAATAATAATAATAATAATAATAATAATAATAATGTGCTAAAAATATGTGCATAGACCATAGTCTCATTATACTAACTTCATCTTCTCCCAACTATCTCATTGCCGAGTATTCATTTATTTCTTCTTTTCTATTTAACTCTAATGTTGGGGATGATCTGAATTTTTTTTTCAATTTACTTCTACCAACCATCCCGATTTGTTTTAAAATGATAAATAAAATTTTGTTGAAAACAAATATTTTATAAATATATCTAATGACCAAGCTGCCTAATAAAAATAAAATATAAGACTACTTTAAAATTAAACAGCTTTGAAATAAAACACAATATTTTTCCATTATATCTTAATCTATATTCTGAGGCATCCTTGTTTTCAGTAACTCCTTCAAAGCACGCTTTGAAAGCACGCTTTGAAATTTTAACCGCTTTTTCAAATCACACTTGAAATTTTAAGCCACTTTTTCAAATGCATGCTTTAAACTTTTGACAAATTTTTTACAAGGCAAAAAATTATCTAATAGCAGACATGTAAGCCTCAACAATTGAAGAAGCCACTCATCATTAGCACAAAAAGGAAAATCTCACTATATGATCAAATCTTTCGGTACCCATTACCAAAATATTATATTTGGTTCCGTTTAAACGGGTTCCTCTTGATTTGTTTATTCCACAAGCAAAGACCATTCGTACATGGAATATAAGAGTGTGTTTGGAAACCAGGAAAATGACTTCTAAAAAATGTTTTCTGAAATTTCCAGAATACATTTTCATTTCTAGTGTTCGGTTACATTTCAGAAAACTGTTTTGGTGTGTTTGGTTCATTTTCCAAAAAATGAGCAGAAAAGAAAAGGGTTAAATACCATAAACTTTATCTGGTCAACTCGGAAGACAAAATGGACGAAGAACTAGTCGTCGCCAGTCGCCTGCTACCAGAGATGGAACGCGACCAGTTGGTCGCCTTCCATCAGAAAAGCGAACTATTTGCCTTCTATGATGAAAGGCGACAAGTTCGCCTTCCCATCTCACCGCCCACGACCTTTTACTCTACCAGGAAAATGACTTTCCCCTTGACAAACACTTGAAATCCGGAAAACGATTTCAAGTCCAAACACACCCTAAGTTTATTTAACTGGAAACTCAACATCTCCCTAAAAAAGCTATATCAACATAAACAGTTATTAATTACGCTTAGTATAACTTTTAGACCAACTTGTTAATATGATTTAAGATATATTTAACTTTTTTCAAAACTTAAACAAAGAATTAAAAGTTACCAAAGCAAAAGTCATAAATCAAATATAACCTTATGCAAAAGGTAACTTTTGCCTTGCCGAGCGCCTTAACAGAGACAACAATAATGGGCTCTTTGATGTAATTAAGCATTTGAAGGGCTTTCGAATAGAGCACCAGTTTGTCTTTGCTGTCACAAAACACAAACAACCGTGGACGAAGACCCCTCTTTCTTCTTACTATCCGCTTCTTCTTCTTCCCCATGTTGATGCTTTCCTAGAAAATAAAAGATAGGTTATTGGTTCAAGCAATGTTTTGTAATACCATAACATTATTTTGAGAATCTTAAGAATATTTCCTAATTTTCTACTGACCGCTATAATCTGTAACCGCACAGAGTCAATCAAAGTATAAATTCTTAAAGTATTCTAAGGTCGATCCCACGAAGAACACAATTAATTGTTGTCTTGAATAATCAATTTTGATAATAAGAGAAAAACACAAATAAAATAGATTCACGTTTTAAAAATAATATTTATGAATTTAAAGTAAAGGAAAATTCCAATTGAGAAAACACTAGGGATGTGGGGTTCACTTATTAGATAATTAACTAACTCTCATGAGTACTAATACTTGCAATTATAGATTTATAGTAATGATCGCTCCAAATATAGGGATGTGGGGTTCAATAATTAACTAACACTCATGAGTACTAATACTTGCAATTATAGTAATGATGGCTCCAAATATATCCTAATAATCCATCGAGCTACTAAGTTGTATCCAAATAATTGTGATCATCCGTCGATATCTCATATCTCACCACAAATACCTAAAGCTAAGTCTAATTTAGGTCAATTGTGCTTATCTTACGAGATCCCGATTCATAATTCACCTGTCAATATTGATGATGGAAATATACAATAGCCAATCACACAATCTACAACTAAAATACATATGATAAATTTAATCACATCCAATTATTCAATTGAACTTAGAAAAATCAAACCTAACCTAGGATGCAGTCAATTAATAATTAATAATCTAATATAAGGCTAATCCAAAACACTAATTAAAAGTTTTAGCCACTAATCATAATTAAATGCATAAACTATTCAAGAAATATTATTTTGGAAATTTAAACAAGAATAAAAATTGAGATGAAGGGAAGCAATCCAAGCCTAAGAAGACGATGGTTGTGCTTGAAGCTCTAAAATCCCTTGCTATCGAGTCTCGAATTCCTCGTCGAAGCCGCTGATGTGTACCCTAGCCTTCATACTCTTCTCTCCATTTTCTCTGTTTTGTTGGTTCGTCCGTGTACCATGAGCCCAAAGAAAAACAAAGGAACCAAGATGGGTTTTCTTTTTCGTATCTTCCCCTTTGGCTGCGCAAATCCAAATTAATTCCCCATTTCTTTTCCTTAGTCTGATGCGCAAATCAGTGAAAGAAAACAAAACAAAATTAAATTAAAGAAAAACAATTATAACCTAATAACACAACTTAATTAAACCTAATGATTAAAACACTTGTTTTAAAACTGAATATATAAAACTACCAAATAAATTTAATATTATACTTAAAATAAAACTCCTATTTATATTAATAAAAATGCAACATTAGCCTAATACTTATTAAAACCATAACGTACCCGCTACCCCGACCCCGTTCCCGGCGGGGACTTAAAAAAATTCCCCGTCCCCGTCCCCGCGAGGAATTTGGCGGGGACGGGAAATCTCCTCCTCGCTCAACCTATAGTCAAAGTCTCAAATTAGTACAATTTTTAAAAATAAAATAGAAAAAATTTGAAATCCAAAGTCTTAATAGTCTTATTTTAAAAACTATAGTTCTTCAACTATTTTTAATATCATACGAACTAACATTCAACAAAAATGCAATAGCAATACAATAAAAGCCTTCGATTATTCATTTTTCACTCTTCACAATCTTCTTCTTCAATCTGAAAGAACACAAAATAAATTAATTAATTGTTCAAACATTTCTCACAATACATGAATAGTTATAAAGTTTAATTAATATATATATCTCCATGTTTTCAAGCTCTTCTGGACTAATCCCACAATCATCATAAATAGTACTAGTAGTTGCACCCGTGCGATGCACGGCCATGTTATTATGGTGAAATATATTAAAAATTGTTTTATTCATGATATATGTTTAATAAGGTTATAGACTTCACAAATACACAAAATATAATATTTTATTGATAAATAAATAAAACAATTACAAATTATTAAAAATTTCTTTATAAACTACATTTTGGGTATTGTTTATAAGACCTCTAGATTCCCCACAAATTAAGACCTTAAGACCATCCGGATTACTGACCCAGGATACTGCAACATATAATTGGCCATGATTAAAAACAGGTTTTTTCAATAACAAACCAACATGTGAAAGTGTCTGACCTTGACTTTTGTTGATTGTCATTGCATATGATTACATAAGTGGGAATTGCTTTCTTTGAAACTTGAATGGAAGTCTTGGGTCTGAAGGAGTCAAAGATAGCCTTGGTATCAAAACCTTTGTACCTGCGTTATTGCCAGCTATGATTTTCCCCTCAATAACATGATTTCCCAATTGTGTTACTATTAACCTTGTACCATTGCACAACCCCATCGAGTGATCTATATTTCTCAACAGCATAACTGGAGTTCCCATTTTCAACGTTAAAGAGTGGTTTGGTACACCTGAGCATCTCAAGCTATTTAAAAATTCTGTTGTGTGTACCTGAGATTGCATATCAAAGTTTGCCTCAGCCTTGCAAACAGAATCACAACTCAAATATGTCTTTGATGCAGCTTGATTAATACCATTCATGTATTCATTGACCTCGTCAACAACATCTAATGTTGGAGCTAATATAGCTCTATTCTCTAATTGTCTTTCATCCATGTTCCCAGAACGGTATTCAGGGAATGTGCTTTCAACAATTTGTTTGATATGATCAACCTCATTTTCTAATACAATGGAAGACGACATTATTATATTGCAATCAACATCGTTGTCTTGACCAAGATTACCATCACCTAAATCCGCAATCCACTTGGCAAAACTATCTAACTTCTCAACATCGTTTTCATTAGTAATACCTCGCAATCTTAAATTCTTCGTTAGACGAAGAACTTCACAATTATTCAACAAGTAAGATGAATTAATGCTGGCTTGTATTATATCTTGTCTAGTACCTTTCGGAATAACGGGTAGAATTTGTCTAAAGTCTCCACCCAACACCACTGTTTTCCCTCCAAATGTCATTGTTGAGCTCCTTGAATTCTTGAAACGCATTAAATCTCTCATTGTGCGATCCAATGCTTCAAAGCAATGTTTTTGCATCATCGGAGCTTCATCCCAAATTATTAATTTGGATTTGATTATCAATTCAGCAAGTGGACTGCCTTGCTTGATGTTGCAAGTGGAGTCTTCATTAACACCAAGCGGTATAGCAAACTTGGAGAGTGCAGTCCTACCCCTCCAGGTAGCAGCAACGAAGCTATACCGCTTGATGCTACGTTTAAAACGACCTCGCCTTTGGATCGTAAAGCTGCTGAAATTGTCTTCCACAAAAATGTTTTTCCTGTTCCACCGTAACCATATACGAAATACATTCCACCTTTCTCAGTTTCAACATCTCCCGTCACCTTATTGTATATGAGTAGCTGTTGATCAGTTAGTTTCGGATGCAACGAATTATGTTGATGCATTAGAGCTTCCCTATCATATGACATTTCCTCTAACAACAATCTGTTACCACAAAACCAATAATTGTTTCCATCTGGCATTGGCATAGGTGGGTAATCTGATAGAGATTTGTTCCAAGCAGTCAACAATTTCTCCATTTCAAGCAGCGCAAAATTCTTTTTTTGAGATTCATTCATATTTAAATCTACAAAATAAAAAACAAATGTAAGATGTAATGCTTTTAAACACAGATTTTAATAATAATATTAAAATAAATTATACCTGAGACTGAGAAGTTCCTTCTATAAATATATTCAGCATCATCTGATAAGTATTGCCAAACCATCTCCCAAACATTTTCTGGTTTGGACATCGAACTGGATATTAAAAGGGTAACAAACAACTTTCGTAGTGAACTTGCTAACGACCAAGTTGCTGCCTCAGTGATTGCATCAATATACTCTTTATCATCTTCGATTAATCCGCGAGCATAACACACATCTCTAAATGAATTGTATTGAACACCATCGACCTTTTTAATCTCATCAAATGAAGTCGGTCCACGAACTATATTAAGTAAACACCTAAGATAAAAGATCTCACCAGTATTTGGTGGCACATAAAAGATTCGCCCAATTGCCCAATTTCTTTGCCTAGGTTGCCATTCTCTTTTATCATTCTTCCAAACAAATTTGGTTGGCATTTGTGAATAAGTCAACTGCCTCCCTGCTGCGTACTTTTTATTAGCCTCAAACCAGGCAGTAAACATGCTTTGAGCTACTGTTGGTCGATTTACCACATCATCGACCAAATCGTCGTCATGAAATATTATTGATTGCTCATTGGGAAGATGGAAACTCAATCGCTCAACAGATGGGTTCCTAAATTGTATGTCAAACCCAAAAATCCTCCACGCAGCCTCAGGGGGTGAAATATATCTACAGTCATAGTACATCTTGATTTCATCTACAATTTTCCCAGTAGATTCTTCCACCCCACTGTTGTAGAATTCAGCTGTGACCCTATCATTCCCTTTGTTGACGTACTTGAATAAGTACTTTATTAATCTAGATTGGTTGCACCACTCCACATTAATATGAGCCTTGTACTTCATAAGCAAATGTCTATTGTGTGGCACAACATATCTACTATCAAGGTCAATCCCATTCTTCCGTATTGTACGACCATTATCTCGACGCCGATAGATTGGATATCCATCAAAATCCACTGTTGAGTTTTCAACAAATTTTTTGGGGAAGAATTTAGAGCAAATACCATTTATCATGCAAGGTGAGTTCTTCCTCGCTGCACCACATGGACCGTGAATCATAAATTCTTCTATAGCTTTATAATACTCAGGGTCGCACAATTGACTTGGAACCTCAGCAGATATGATCATGTCAATATCTTTAGGATTAGGGTAAGAGTTACTCTTGCTCAAGAAGATCAAAATGTGAGCATGTGGCAATCCCCTTTTTCTGGAATTCAATGGTGTAAATTACTGCAAATACGGAGATGGTGAAATTAGACCCCCAAAAAATTGTCAATTATTTTAAGTATACGTAACACTGAAATATATTCGGTAATATTTATAAAATCACATAAATTACCTGCATCCACAAGTCCAAAAATCTTCTCCTTCTTAATGTCTTTTATGAGTGCATTTAATTTCATTTTAAACACACGACATACTATATCTGGCCTATCTTCAGCTTTGAGTTTCCTTGGTTGTAAAAATCTTTCAATCTCAGGCCACTAAGGATTACACGTGAATGTAATAAATAGACTTGGATACCCGATCCATCTACAAATCGCCATTGCATCTTGGTAATTTTGCACCATATATCTTGCACCTCCTGTAAAACTCAATGGCAAAATAATGCGCTTTCCTTGGGAAGTAGGATCTACCTCACCACGTGTTAACGCATCTGTCAAACATTTGTATGATTCACACTGAAGTGACTTTTGATGAGACCTAATATAAACCAAGCGTCCTGATTCTATCATGGTATAAGCATCAACCAAATATTGTTGAAACAATCATCTAGCATATAGCAATGTTGACATTTCATTGAACCTATCTTGCAAACGGAATGAAAAATACTCTCTTGGGCTAAGTTTACTTCGTGCATTTGAACTCCGGCCTTCAACATTATTAAACTGTATATCGTCTCTGTATCCGACTTCACCATAAGGAAATAGTAGTGGGTACTGCAGTGGGAGATATGCTGTATTTAATTCAGTTATTCTTTGAAAATGACCAGCTTTAGACTCCACCAATATATCTCTTTCTCCCATGTTTGGATCTAAATCACCAACAATCAATGCCGCCACCTCCCCAACCTGTGGCAAGTTATATGTCCTTGCATCCTTGCTCCTTTTACCAATGAGTTTGATTTTAATATCAGCTCTATGATTACTTTCCATCCCTGTTTTGGCCATCCTAAAACTCTTGACCAAAACATTATTTTCATCCAGTGCATCCTTGATGTCTTTCACAATTTCACGATGCATTGTATTCGTTGACTCATCTGCCCTGTTTGAAAGAGACAAACACATACAATTTCATAATCTATTTTATATAAAAAATGATGTTCATTTCTTTAAATTAAAGAAGCGTACATAACTTACCCAAGTACAGTTAGACGATTTTCTATCTCATTTTGAGTATCATAAATATATAATTGAGCAAACTTTGGTCTTTCACCAGATTGTGGTAGTAAACTACCCATTAAGTGAAAGTTTTGACCATGTAACCTAAAAGTGGGCGGTGCACTACCATTGTTGACAGTTGTTGGTCCCGAAAGGGTGGTGAGAAGTCTAGAGGGGGGGGGGGGGTGAATAGACTTCTCAAACTTTTTCAAACTTCTTCTGCAAACAACACTTTGTAACTTCAACTCTAAGTAACAAGCATAAACAAGTATAACAACTTAGAGTGTGCACAGCGGAATTGTAACGGAAAAGTGTTATGCTTTAAATTGTGTCGTGCTCAAATAGAGATTTTATACATGCACCACGTTAGAGCCACTTAGTATAGATTTAGGATGATGTATATAAAATTTCACTTGCATGCAAACGAGGGAACTATCAAATCTAGACAGATAAAGATACGCAATAAACCGTAACGGGTTAGTTCACAGATAATATAGGCATGCACGAAATATATATGAGCAGTAAGTAAATAGAGAGAGATATTTATAGTGGTTCAGAGGTGGTGTAATCCTCCTAGTCCACTCTTCTCCTTTCACTTCAAGGAGGAAATTCACTATTCTTCAATCACCCAGATACAATAGTGAATAAGTGCCCAACGACACTTCTCCGAGTGCTTCGCACAAAGCTACACTCCACCAAGGTTTTTCGCAAGCTCCTCTTGTTACTCCGCCTTCCCGAGTACTTCGCACCAAGCTGTACTCCTACACCACGAGAATTACGCACAAAGCTACGCTCTCACCGGGTTTTCACAAGCTCCCCTTGTTACTCTGCCCGTTACAACCGAGTGCTATGCACAAAGCTACACTCCAACTGGGTTTTTCACTCTCCCTAGTTACTCTACCCCTTTTCTACACTCAGTAGAAGATTTACAATGAAATACAAAGATTTCTTCTCTCAGACTTGAATTCTATCTTATATAGCTCAATATACCACTTGATGATTGATTGGATAATTTTCTTTGTTGTTCAAGTGTTTTCTGAATTTCTGTTAGATTCGTGCTTGTCTTCAAGTCTGCTTGGGCAATTTATAGCAGATGAAAGCTATTTGCCCGTTGATCAACTTTCGATCTTGATCGTTCATTTTGAATTGTAGTTGATCAATTAATTTTGCCAACTTGGTCTGCAAAAATCATTTCGCCGTCTGTCAGAAGATTTTGAGAAATCTCGCCGTTGCTCTCCTTTAATCTGACAAAGCTTTTCTTTGGAATGGGTAGCCTCCAATTTTGAATTTTCTCTGGCATGACTTTTGTTGAATTATTGATATGATGTGCCAAGTTGATCAAATAATTTATCTGCTGATTCTTGCTTGAGTATTAAAAAGATTTCCTTCGTATATCAGCTTCTTCTTCTTCTTCGACTTCTTCTGCAGAAACAGAGCTTCAAAATAATGTTTCTGTCTAATTCTATCATGATGTCATAGCTCCTTTTGATGAAGTCATGTCCCAATAGTATATCATGTTCCACCTTGTATCATGGACTATATATCATGTTCCACCTTGTATCATGGACTATATATCATGTTCCACCTTGTATCATGAGCTAGCTATCATGTTCCACCTTGTATCATGGACCATGTATCACGTCCATTGTATATCATGAAATCATAAAATTACTTCAAGTGGGAATCGAACTGTAGACTATTTGTTTTGCTTGGCAAGGCTTCTTCCATCTCAGCTAGGTATCCAATTGATATAATCCAAAACTTAAATTCTTTTGACTTATCTCCTCCACGTGTTCTCCACTAGCTTTATCACATTGTGATGTCATTACCCAATAGTCGTGACGTCATCACCCGATAATTCTCAACTATCACGATAAAAATTGTTCTAGAAACTTGTTGGATTCTCAGAGTTTCCTTCTTGTTGGAATACTTGTTGTGATTCCACTTGTTGTGAATTGTTGACGGGTGCATCTCCGGGTTCATCTACTGGAGTTCCTTCTTCTTGAATTCTGGGTGCAATTTCGGTTGTAGGTGTGCGTGATATTTCGGGTGTCACATAGGATATTGCCTCAATTTGGTGAATACCCATATCACTTGATTCTTCTACTTCCTGCAACACATTATCTTCCAACATATCATTAGAAATGATTAAATCACGATTACCTTTACTATCTTTGCCCTTTTTGTCGTGATTTTCATCAAACACAACGTGAATCGATTCTTCTACCACCATGGTTGATTTGTTGAATATTCTATATGCCTTGCTGGTGGATGAATATCCCAAGAATGTTCCTTCGTTTGCACGTTCGTCAAAAGTCTTTAGTTGGGACTTTCCATTAACAAGTACAAAACATTTACAACCAAATGTATGAAAGTAGATGAGATTGGGTTTTCTCCCTTTCCATAATTCATATGGTGTTTTGTTATAAGACTTGTGGATTAGACTTCGATTTTGAGTATAACACGCCGTATTGATTGCTTCTGCCCAAAATCTCTTTGGTAGTCCGGCGGCTGATATCATGACTCGTGCGGCTTCCTTCAGTGTTCGATTTCTTCTTTCAGCTACACCATTTTGTTGCGGCGTTCGTGCGGCAGATAATTGATGTAAAATTCCTTGTGAATTGCAGTAAGATTGAATTACTCCGTTCACGAACTCTGTTCCCCGATCAGTTCAAATTGTTGCAATCTTCATATCTTTTTCGACTTGTAGTAGCTTTAATAGCTCTGGCAACTTTGATAAGACTTCATCCTTTTTCTTGATGAATATTGTCCATGTGTACCTAGAAAAATCATCAACAACAACCAAAGTGTATTTCTTACCACTTATACTTACTGGGTCTACTGGACCAAATAAATCCATGTGCAGTAGACTTAAGGATCTTGATGTTGACTCTTGAGCTTTGGATTTGAATGATGCTTTGATTTGTTTTCCTTTTTGGCATGCGTCACATATTTGATCTTTCTTGAACACAATATTGGGTAGTCCTTCGACTAACTTCTTTTTGGCAAGCTTGTTGATGGTTTTGAAATTCAAATGATTTAGCCTTCTATGCCATTCCCAACTAGCTTCATTCGAATTATTTGCCATCAAGCATACAGAATCTTTTGTTGTACTCCAATCTACAACATACATATTTTTCTTTCTTGATCCGGCGAGTACGACTTCTTTCGTGGATTCGTCTTTGACTTGACATTTGCCCTTGTAGAATTCTACGAGATATCCTTTGTCGCAAAATTGACTTGTACTAAACAAATTAAATTTTAATCCTTCGACATAAGATACGTCATCAATTCGTAGACCATTTTTCACAATTGCACCGGTTCCTTTTGTCATTCCATATCGATCGTTTCCATCGAAAACTACTTTTGGTCCTTCGATACTTTTGAACTCAACTAGACTAGCTTTATTGCCGGTCATATGTCGAGAGCAACCGCTATCGAAATACCAAACTTCCTGCAAAAAAGATTAATTTGCTTTAGGTACCCATACTTGTTTGGGTCCTTTTGTGTTAGTAATTTTTGGCATCCAAATCCACCTAGATCCCACTGATCCAAGAGTAGGTGATTTGTAACCATTAAAAACTTTATAATCATAACGCACTTTCGAATAATGATTCGGTGCGGGTTGGGAAGCTGATAGTTGCTTGATTCTATGAAATAGAGCAAATCTGGACTTGGTCCATGGTTTGATTTCAAGCGACCAATCTTCTTCTGAGGGATATAATCTCCCAGCCCCAATTCTCGGATTTCTTCCCATATTCCTATGAGGTTTTATTGCACTAGACTCGTTGGTTCTCCTTTGAGATACAAATTTTTGCCTTTTAAAATTTTGTTGTTGCCATGATATCATTGTGTTGATTCGGCCTTGCAACAATTTTCTGGGCATTAATTTTGTTTCCAACTCCTTGTCTCATTGTGCTATGTTGACTTTTTACAAATTTTACCACTAGAACTTTATTAATTAATGTAGTAGTAGAATTGATCAACTTTTGAGGGGTTTTAGAACATGATGGATCGTAGCCTAGTCCGGCTTTATCTCCAGCGGGTTTTTGCATGTTCACCATTTTATCCATTATTTTGGATGAATGCGTAAATGATGCGATTACTTCCCGAAGGTTATGTTCTCTAACCTCTCTAGCTTTGCACTCTTCTTGAAGTCGAACATTTTCGGCTTTCAAATTACTCATTTCATTTAGAGCATTCTGCAATTTTTGTGACATTTCTTCCTTTTCAAGAATTAACGTATTATTGCGCTCTTTGATTTGAGTATGAGTGGCCATGACTTTTTGACAATCTTCCATAAGACTTTGAAAAGATTTTTGAGTCTCGAAAGAGGTGTCAACGGAACTAAAGGAACTAAAAGAACTAGAAGATACCTCTTCGTCGGTTTCACGCGCCATATAGCATTCCTCATGTTCGGATGTTTTGCCCATTCGACATAGTAGCGCCGTATCTTCTTGTGATGAATCACTCTCGTCACTAGATGATTCTTCGGATTCACTTGCTTCTAACGGATCGCTTATTAGTGCCTTCCGTTTGTCCTTTTTGAATTTCTTCTCTTTCGACTTGTACTCAACCTGTGGAGAGTTAGAAGTATTCGAATTTTTGTTCACCTTGGGATGTGGACATTCGGCCATAAAATGTCCAGGCTTTCTACAATTGTAACACACATTTGTGTTATCTTCGACCGTTTCCCTTCTTGATCTTCTATTCTCTCGAAAAGAATTTCCTTGTGGTGATCCTTTGTTCTTTCGCATGAATTTCTTGAATTTCCTAACAAATAAGGAAAATTGTTCGTCAGATAAAAAATCATTATTTACGACTGACCTTGATGTAGACGGTTGATCGGCCATTAATGCGGA